CGCTGTCTGTGCTGTGTATACATGGTGTAGTAGTGTGTGAGGGGAGCTGGCACTGCCGCTGTCTGTGCTGTGTATACATGGCATGGTGTAGTAGTGTGTGTGATTGAGGTTCCTCCTTGTATTAATAATAAACCTTTTTTAGGTACCTGAAGAAGATTGATTCATGGCTGCAGAAACCCTAAACTTTGGGCCTGAATGGTGAGTTGCTTTGTATGTTGGCTATTTACAGCATATGGAGTACTATGAGTAGTTATACGGAGTAATAGGGGATACGGGCTGGGTTATATGGAGTAATAAAGGATACAGGCTGGGTTATACAGAGTAATAGGGGATACAGGCTGGGTTATACCGGGTAATAGGGAATACAGGCTGGGTTATACGGAGTAATAGGGGATACAGGCTGGGTTATACAGAGTAATAGGGGATACAGGCTGGGTTATACAGAGTAATAGGGGATACACGCTGGGTTATACCGGGTACCGTGTTTCTCCGAAAATAAGACCGGGTCTTATATTAATTTTAGTCACAAAAAACACACTAGGGCTTATTTTCAGGGTAGGGCTTAGAGCCAGTCTGTCAGCCGGTGTCCGCGCTGTGTAACAACCCCCCCCCAGAGACCCTCACCTCCCCCTCCCTGTAATATTCTCCCCTCCCCTCCCTCCCTGTAATATTATCTCCCTCCCTCCCTGTAATAATTCTCCCCCCCTCCCTCCCTGTAATACTCCCCCTCCCTCCCTGTATGCTCTCCCCCCCTCCCTCACACCAAATATTATCCACCTCCCTGTAACCCGTGTGCACTTCCTGTCAGTCCGGTGAGGGTCCGGACCGGGAGGAGGAGGCTTCGGCCGCGCTACAGGGGAGGGAGGTGGTACTGTGGCGGCAGGTCACAGGGTGCTCTCTATAGGCTCAGGGGCTGGTGGGGCTTGAGGCACTGTGGCAGCCGTCTGAGTGCTCTCTATAGAGCGCTCAGGCGGCTGAGGCATTTTAAGGGCTCGGCAGGTACCGGCCCTGCCTAGGTCTTATTTTCGGGGTAGGGCTTATATTGCAGCCCACCCCGATAATCCAGCTAGGGCTTATTTTTGGGGTAAGTCTTATTTTCGGGGAAACACGGTAATAGGGAATACAGGCTGGGTTATACAGAGTAATAGGGGATACAGGCTGGGTTATACGGAGTAATAGGGGATACAGGCTGGGTTATACGGAGTAATAGGGGATACAGGCTGGGTTATACGGAGTAATAGGGGATACACGCTGGGTTATACGGAGTAATAGGGAATACAGGCTGGGTTATACGGAGTAACAGGGGATACAGGCTGGGTTATACAGAGTAATAGGGGATACACGCTGGGGTTTATAATGGAGTAATAGGGAGCTGGGTTGAGTAATGGGGACTGGGTGGTATATACGAGTAGGGGATACAGGCTGGGTTATATGGAGTAATAGGGGATACAGGCTGGGTTATACGGAGTAATAGGGGATACAGGCTGGGTTATACGGAGTAATAGGGGATACAGGCTGGGTTATACGGAGTAATAGGGGATACAGGCTGGGTTATACGGAGTAATAGGGGATACAGGCTGGGTTATATGGAGTAATACAGTAGGCATTGAAGTGTGAACATGTATAAAAAAAATAGAAGTTCCCAAAGAGTATCAAGGAGCGTGTAGAGGAACTTGTGGAGAAGGAAGTGGTGAAAACGATAGTAATAATGTTCCTGCTCTCTCTTTCTAGGCTCCGAGCACTATCCAGCGGGGGTTCTATCTCATCCCCCCCTCCATCACCTGCTATGCCAAAGTATAAACTTGCTGAGTATCGCTATGGGCGAGAGGAGATGTTAGCACTTTATATAAAGGAGATCAAGGTGGGTGAAAGAATCTGTGGGCAGTTACTTTTTTGTCATATTTATAGTGACATACACAGTATAAAATCTTAGTGACCGGGGCAAGCTGCTGTTCCCCCGAGATGTTGGGATGTACCAGGTGGACGTATAGCTGGGGAGTCTCCATTATTTCAAGATATGTGAGGTGTTTCAGCTTTCAGATAAGCTCTAAATTAACTCCAATTCTGTGCTCAGTAGCCTGGATTCAAACATGTTAATTGGCGACTTGACTTGTGTGATATATTCCTAAAATATTCTAAGTTACCTGAAGTACTCTTTAGGCCCATTTCCATTAGTTTAAATTCAGCACTAGGGAGGGTGTTCTGTAGCAATCTCTGTCTGTCAGGTTGTCTTTGCTGCTGGTAATCTTGTAGAAAGGATCCCTAGTAGTAATGTGTGCATGAAATCTGCAAATCTATTCTGATTAATGTATTTTATAAACTGATACAAAGTAATAACCCCTTACCATACTGTGCTATACAAAGGTTCCAGAGGAGATGCAAGATAAGGAATTTGCTGTGATTTTAAATGAGGAGCCCCTGCAGCCACTCGCCCTTCTCCCACTCACTGAAGAGGAGCAAGTAAGTGATTCAAAGACTGGCTTCGTTGGTGCTATTAAACTACTGCGGGTGTATCACACGCAAACTTTACCAATCTATGTCTCTCCCTCTCCCTCTAGAGAAACTTTTCCTTGTCTGTGAACAGTGTTCCAGTCCTGAGACTGATGGGGAAGGGAGCAGCAGCCCCTCCTGGTGGTGTAGCGAGAGGCAGGGGCACTGCCCGTGGACGGGGTAATGTATTTTAAGCTCTCTAAGACTTCCACTATTTCCTGATGTGTACCTTAAAGGGACAATATAGTCACCTAAAAAAACTTTAGCTTAACCCCTTAAAGGACCACTAAAGGTACCCAGACCACTTCAGCTCAATGAAGTGGTCTGGGTGCCAGGTCCCTCTAGTTTTAACCCTGCAGCTGAAAACATAGCAGTTTCAGAGAAACTGCTATGTTTACATTGAGGGTTAATCCAGCCTCTAGTGGCTGTCTCACTGACAGCCGCTAGAGATGCTTCCGCGATTCTCACTGTGAAAATCAGTGTGAAGACGCTGGAGTTCCATAGGAAAGCACTGAGCAATGCTTTCCTATGGGCGGTTTGAATGCGCGCGTGGCTCTTGCTTCGCATGCGCATTCAGATCTGACGTCGGCAGAGGGAGGAGAGTTCCCCAGCGCCGAGTGAGCTTTGCCAGGTATATGTGGACATTGAAGGGGCACATTTCCGACACCGCCATTGCAGTTTTTTTCAATCTTTGAATTTTTTTACGCTGTGTTGTGACCCCCCTTTTTTTTTTTTTTTTTTTAGCAGGCTACATAGTCCAACAACACCAAAAAGCATACTATTTCTTAAAGAAGACATCCCAGATTAATTCAAAAGGCATATTTTGAACCTTAACCTGAAATATTTCCGCTAGCTTGTACCAAGTATAGTGGTAATAAGCATTTTTCTGCATTATTGACACACACAGTGAGTTTGTACTGTATGTTTTGCAAACCTTATGTGTGCTTCGGCTCTATAATACTTCATATGTTTCTCAGCTATGTTGTCGGAGTACAGCAATACCCCTTATGTTCCTTTGCCAGGTATATCCGGACATTGAAGGGGCACATTTCAGACACAGCCATTTAAGTTTTTTCAAACTTGGACTTTTTACGCTGGGTCCATACCCCACTTTGGAGTTTTTTTTAAGTAGGTTAATTATTCCCACTACCCCATAAAGGCATACCATTTCCTAAAGAAGACACCCTAGGGTATTTTAAAAATACAGATTTTGGACCTTAGCCTGAAATCATTTTCACGCTAGCTTGTAGTGTAGTGGTAATAAGCATTTTTCACACACACAATGAGTATGTAATATATATTTTGCAAACCTTATGTGTGCTACAGCAGTATAATACGTCATATGTTGCTCACCTATGTCATCTGAGTACAGCAATACCCCCGTATGTACCTTTACCAGATATATGGCAAGGTTGAAAGGCATATTTGAGAAGCCATTTGAGTTTGAATTTTTACGCTGGGTCCATGCCCCACTTTGGAATTTTTTTAATAGGTTGTGTTTTCCAATTACTTCACAAAGGCATACCATTTCCTAAAGAAGACACCTCAAGGTGTTTCAAAAGACATATTTTAAACCTTGGCGTGGTATCATTTCGCTAGCTTGTACCAAGTGCAGAGGTAATACACATTTTTCCCTTTTTTAAATTTTGTAAAAGTGTTTTTTTTTTTTTTTTACTGTTAGCCCCTAACTAGCCTAACAGTAAAAACCCCAATTTCCCCACTAACTTCTACCCACCCTAGCTAAATATTTTACAAATATTTAACTAAATAAATGTAACCCCTAAGGATTAAAAAAAAAAAGTTAACCCTCGGGGGTTAAAAGAAAAAATGAGATCACAGTGAAATACTGTTATCTGTATTTTGATCACTGCAGACAGTTATCAAAGGGCAGGGCAGGGGTTACACTTTATTTGAAAGAGGTGAGGGGGGGAGGGGGGGGGGTAGGATTTTATAACCAACAGGTTTTGTTTTGTTTTTTTACAGCAAGAGACAGATCAGCATCATTCTGTCTCTCTGCACTTCACAACTCACACTGAGCTGCAGGGACGGGTCGGATTTCACTGCAGCAGTGTGATCGCGGACTCCCAGTCAGAGCGATCACATGGGCTGAATCGGTGAAACTGCTTGCTGTAGTGTTCCTCTAACACAGACACACTACAAGAACATTAACCCCATAATTGCCACAATTGTGGCAATCTGGGGTTCATTTTCGTATTGGATGGAAATTTTTCGTCCTGCGTCCTTAAGGGGAGTACTGCAATGACAGAAAACTTCCGTCCAGCATCCTTAAGGGGTTAATGAAGCAGTGTATGGATCATGCCTCTGAAGTTTTACTGCTCAATTAACTGCCATTTAGGAGTAAAATCACTTTGTTTCTGTTTATGCAGCCCTAGCCACACCTCCCCGGGCTCTGACTGACACAGCCTGCATGAAAAAAAAACTGGTTTCACTTTCAAACAGATGTAATTTACCTTAAACAATTTTATCTCTTGCTCTGTAAATTGAACTTTAAGCACATACAGGAGGCTATTCAGGGGATAAGAAAATCTTAAAGGGACACTATAGTCACCTGAACAACTTTAGCTTAATGAAGCAGTTTTGGTATATAGAACATGCCCCTGCAGCCTCACTGCTCAATCCTCTGCCATTTAGGAGTTAAATCCCTTTGTTTATGAACCCTAGTCACACCTCCCTGCATGTGACTTGCACAGCCTTCCATAAACACTTCCTGTAAAGAGAGCCCTATTTAGGCTTTCTTTATTGCATGTTCTGTTTAATTAAGATTTTCTTATCCCCTGCTATGTTAATAGCTTGCTAGACCCTGCAAGAGCCTCCTGTATGTGATTAAAGTTCAATTTAGAGATTGAGATACAATTATTTAAGGTAAATTACATCTGTTTGAAAGTGAAACCAGTTTTTTCATGCAGGCTCTGTCAATCATAGCATGTGGCTAGGGCTGCATAAACAGAAACAAAGTGATTTAACTCCTAAATGACAGTGAATTGAGCAGTGAAATTGCAGGGGAATGATCTATACACTAAAACTGCTTTATTTAGCTAAAGTAATTTAGGTGACTATAGTGTTCCTTTAATTAAACAGAACTTGCAATAAAGGAAGGATAAACATGACTCTTTACATGAAGTGTTTATGAAGGCTGTGCAAGTCACATGCAGGGAGGTGTGACTAGGGTTTATAAACAAAGTGCTTTAACTCCTAATTTGCAGAAAATTGAGCATTGAGACTGTAGGGGCATGATCTATACACCAAAACGGTTTAATTAGGCTAAAGTTGTTTTGGTTGCTATAGTGTCCTTTTAAGCTGTCGTCCTCTCTGCTTCTCTCCTCAGGCCGTGGTCGTGGTGAAGCTGCTATATACACAAGAGCAATTGAGGAAGGAGAGCCTGGATTTGGCCGTGGGAACCGAGAGATTCACAGGAGCCAAAGCTGGGATGACAGGTTAAAGCCGTTTCTGTACATCTAACTGTAAACTAATCATTTGGTTTTCTTCCCAGTCACATTGTAAACTCCACATATAACTTCTGTGTGGGTTTATATAGCACAAGAGGGGAAACACTGCTTCTATACCAAAACTCAGAGTTTTTTCATTTTACAGGGGGGAGAGGAGATTTGAGAAGCCAATTCGCAGAGAAGCAGGTATGTATTGCTACATCCATTTCTTTTCTCTATAATCCTTGCTGGGACTGATTGTTTGATAGTTGTATATTGATTTTTGAGTGAAGCCCCTTGTGTTCAGGTGCTTAGACACTGCCTGCTTGGCAGTATTGTTTCTATTGGCACCTCTAAGTGATTTGTTTTTTGTCCATATTGTTCTGCAGTATTAAAATGACCCTCCATACCCCCAAAGCATTGTAAATAATGTTTTTTTTGTTTGTTTGTTTTTTACAAAAGTCTAGATTTTAAGATATTGTCACTTTTATAAGTAAACCCTGTACCCCCTGAATCCATCCCTCCCCTCTCTCCTGCTGCCAGTCTGACACGCGGTCCTGTTACTTCCTGGTTGTTTAGCTCAGTGGAACAAAACCCAAGAGGCAGCGATTGCCAAGAACATGTGCTTTGCATTGTTTTGATTGAGCTACATTGGGAAGTCTGTGATTGAACAGCCACAGAAAGTCTGGCTTAGGTTGGAAGGGGAAGGACTTGCAAAGTCTGCAGACAAAATATCTGCACCTTTTGCAAGTTGTTTTTAGCAATACTTTTGCTAAAGAAAAATGTATAATTAAATGTGTTTTGTTTGTTTTTTTGGAGGGGAGGTATTTTTTAGAGATATGTTGATAAACAGTGACTTGCATCTTTTTTTTTTTTTTTCTCTCCAAAGTGTTCCTTTAAATGATAACATGTCTATTTGAATAGGTACCTTTGTCTGATATCTGAGATATACTTTACTGCACCTCAGACATAACTTGTTCCTACTCATGGGTTCTTTTTGTTGGGTTACCCTCTTCACAGTTCGTGTTGGATTTGAAGAAACCTCGGGTCCATCTCGGAAGGAATTTGCCCGCTCAGACAGTGACAATTGGCGGACACTGAGGGATGGACAAGAGGAAGATGAGGATGGCAACTGGAGGCTGGCAGTAACTCGAAGGGATGAGCGTTGGAGGTCCACTAGTCCTGGAGCTAGCACTGGAGGTATATGAACTCCAGTCTTATTCCATTCATCTTTTCCTTTGCAAACATTCATTTTCATATTAAAATTCAAGTTAACGTTGACTTTTTGTATTTGCATTGTATCACTCAGAGATGCCACGGTCAGCTGGTTGGAGGGATCATGCAGAACGTCGTAGAAAGTTTGATTTTGATATTGGACGGGAAGATAGCGGAGCCACTCCTCGTGGGCGAGGAGATGGCAATCATGATGATGAAAGGGATGGCTTGCCTGAGTGGTGCATGGAAGATGAAGATGATGAAATGGGGACCTTTGACTCTTCAGGGGCTTTTCTTTCATTCAAGGTAGCATTATTCAAATATTTTGAGTTACATGTGATTGCCAGCTTTGTGGTCAGTGTAGTAGCCTGTTTGAGCAGTGCCCCACCCCCATTAGTGCTTTATTCCTCCCTCCCCCATCCAATGCTTCTTATAGACTGTTGGGCACAAAGTCTAGAGGAAAATCCATCTTCCTGTCTGTGCAGCCCAGAAGCTTTATAAAAGAACACGTTTCTCTATTAACCCCTTCAACACTTCAGTAAGCTGAAGGAGTTAGCGGTTTAGCGTTTTCCTTTCATTGTTTCGGTAATCCAAGGAAATTTGTTGGACATCTTTGGACTCGGTGTTAGTATTCAAAAACTAAAATAGTGCTTTTTTTAAAAACCTCTTTCTATCTAACCAAATAGAAGCGTTTTTACTTACATGGATTTTGCGGAATGCAATCTTTCCTGTAGAGCCTCACTCACCCTCATTTATACTTCCATTATGATTACCAGCCTGTATAGATATGAGAGGTCATTGGTATGATGCTTGAACATTTACTGAAAATGTACAGGAAGTTAGTCTGAATGGGTCACACCATTCCTTCAGTTGTGCATGGCAGAGGAGTGAATGGACTCTACCATTGCACTATTGGCATTTCATTATCAATCTAGAGATAAATGATTGCTATAGGAGTTTTAAATAACTTTATTTTAGAAATATAAGACACGTATGTGGGCATTATGCCCAAGATTTACAGTCTGTGATCATTTTCAGTAAGCTGTACTGCTGTATTTGACAATTTTAATTTATTTTTGTCACACCTGTATGGTATAAAAATTTGTTATATGCTAGTTATGCACCGCTTCAAAAGTTTGTCTTACCCTTAAGGACACAGGCCATTTTTTGCTGTTTGTGTTCTAACGCAATTTGCATCTCTCATTTATTGCAACAACACATAACTTGTCTCCATTTTTTCACCAGTTTATGTCAATGTTTGTGGTGGGGGGGGGGAAATTGCATTTTTACATATATGTTGCATTTTTGCTGAGTATTTCTTGCATTTATGTACCACTGTCATAAAAATCCACAAATTATGCTCAGTTACATCTTCTGACTAAAACAATATGCCCAATGTATGACCTAGACACTATTTTGTGAAGTTACAGTGCTGTAAAAGAGACGTGACAAATTCAGGTTTTTAAGTGTGAATTTTCATGGAGGGTTTTGATGCGTCCGTGTCCCACTTTGGAGCACTTGAGCAGGCTACATATTACAATTACACCATAAAGGTATACCATTTCTTAAAGAAGACATCCCAGGGCAATTCAAAAGGCATATTTTGAACCTTAGCGTGATATAATATTTCCGCTAGCTTGTACCAAGTGTAGTGGTAATAAGTATTTTTTCTGCCTTTTTGACACACACAGTGAGTTTGCACAGTATGTTTTGCAAACCTTATGTGTGATATGACTGTATAATACTACATATGTTGCTCAGCTATGTCGGCTGAGTACAGCAATACCCCCACATGTACCTTTGCCAGGTATATGTGGACATGGAAGGGGCACATTTGAGACACAGCCATTCCAGTTTTTTTTGTGTTTTTTGAATTTTTACGCTGTGTCCATGTCCCATTTTATCTACCGGGTTATATAATCCAATTACCCCATAAAGGTATACCATTTCTTAAAGAAGACCTCACAGGGCAATTCAAAAGGCATATTTTGAACTTTAGCGTGGGATCATTTTTCCTTAAAGGGCAATACATCCCAGGGCCATAGTCGAAGGGCAGGAGGCTGGCAAACAGGCCAGTGGCGCGGTTACTTTCGCCACACCGTGCATGTAGTGAAGGGGTTAAAAACAAGGGTTTAGTTTAGGATCCTTTAAACAAACACAATAGCGCTAGGAATATAAATGTGTATTCCTAACGCTATAGTGCTCTGTTGGTTGTGTAGTTGGTCGTCCTTTTCTCCTTCACAGCTCCGATCTCTGCAGAGAAATGCTGCTTCCTTGGCTGAGGTAATATAAATCAATGATCTTGGCCAATCTTTCCGATAGGGAAGCATTCAGATGGAGAGCTACAAGGTGTGCGCGGCGATATGGGGTTAGCCTTAGTAAATGACGGAAATTTTCTGTTAACGCTCCTTAACTGAAGGACAAGGTTGATGGAAAATTTCCGGCTCCGGTCTGGATGGAGTGATATCTATATCTTATGCTTATATTGTTTGAAACCGTGCATGTAGTGAAGGGGTTAAAAACAAGGGTTTAGTTTAGGATCCTTTAAATAAACACTATAGTGCTAGGAATTCAGATGGGGAGTTACAAGGTGTATTAGCACAGAATTCAGATGGGGAGTTACAAGGTGTATTAGCACAGAATTCAGATGGGGAGTTACAAGGTGTATTAGCACAGAATTCAGATGGGGAGTTACAAGGTGTATTAGCACAGAATTCAGATGGGGAGTTACAAGGTGTATTAGCACAGAATTCAGATGGGGAGTTACAAGGTGTATTAGCACAGAATTCAGATGGGGAGTTACAAGGTGTATTAGCACAGAATTCAGATGGGGAGTTACAAGGTGTATTAGCACAGAATTCAGATGGAGTTACAAGGTGTATTATCACAGAATTCAGATGGAGAGTTACAAGGTGTATTAGCACAGAATTCAGATGGAGAGTTACAAGGTGTATTAGCACAGAATTCAGATGAAGGGCTATAGGTGGAAATATCTGTAGCTTATTGCCGATTTAAGGCCAATAATAGCTTTTACTTTATAGATTTGTTGTCTAGTGTACAAACTATGGTTTATTTTGTAATTATAGGATGGGACTGATAAGATTGAACCATACGAATGTTGAGAATAGGACTTCGGGTTACACTGGTAATCTGTGGATTGCTTCACCTTTTAGATATTTTTTTCTTAATATTTCAGAAATGTTCTAAAGAAACTATTCTCGAGGAACAAGAGCTAGAGTTCCAAGGAGTGGAGGACGAGGAGGAGGAAAAAGCAGGCGATACTGCCGAACGGACTCATAGTAAGTCCCAGTCAGTCCAGCTGTCTCACTTACACAATACCGAATACATAAGTTTGCTTTCTGCAGAAACTGCTAAAAATACACCATATATTACTTTCCTTCCTCATCGCTACTGGAGGAATATCCCAGATGTGGGTATATGTAGAAATTGATTTAATCAAAATGTACGGCATGAGTTTGTTCCATTAATTTGTTGAAAGTACTGGATGTTGGGCCTTGAAGAGAGGCCAGATGAACGTCTTAGCTGGTGCACAAAGGCTAAGATTCGGCTTCCTTCTGTCTGAACCACAGTTTTAGTTTGAACTTCTATCTATTCAACATAGGATTCTTCTTTGTATTCTATGTGGAATTCTAGAAGATAAAATAAGGATTGGCAGATTTGGTTATAGCTGTAATTTAAGATGTATGAATGCATGAAGAAGAACTTTGTGTTCCTATTTAGAGATGATCGAACCCTTATACCAAAATGTTATTTTACTATTCTGATCAGGGCTGAACATTTTGAAGTCCTATGCTATTAGCCAGGCCTTAGAAGTTACTTGCCACTGGAAGTCGTGGTATTCTCACCAGAGGTGAATTTCTACTCGCCAGAACTACATTTTCATTTGCCAAAGCTCTAATAAAATGTGTTTTTTTTGCAGATAATGGGATCTCTCTTGCAGCTGAAGATATCAGCCATGAACCAAGCTCCATATCCCCTGATCCTGCTAATTCCCTCTGGACAACAGGGATTTATGCAGACATGGAGGGAGAGAGGTGCCCTGAAATCTCCTCCACAGATGGGGAGGATGGTGCTTTAGGGGAGCAACAGCAGGGCTCTGGAGAAGAAGGTATAATAATTGAAAAGTAATTTTTAGGTTTGGTCTGGAAACAGATCTAAAGGAGTTTGAAAGTTTTATTACAGTGAAGTTTCGCTAATAGTTTTCCCATTGCCCACAGGTGACCCTGGACATTTTTCCTCTTCTCTTTCCCCTCTTTCCTCCCTTTCTTCTCTTCCACCACCCTCCTCTTCCCCCCCAGTCGCTGCTACTGAATTCTCTGTGGGGGATCCAGAGGAGGATGAAGGCATGAAGCATCTACAGCAGGTGAGAACAAACATTTAATGTAATGGATGGGATGGTTCCCCAGCACAGCCACTACGGGAATGTGACATGTTCTCCTCTTTCCTTTTATAGGAAGCTGAGAAGCTTGTGGCCTCTCTACAGGACTCTTCTCTTGAGGAAGATGGTTTCTCCTCTACCCGTTCTCACAGTGCTGCTGCCCTTCCCCTCTCACATGAGGCGGCCATGAAATGGTTTTACAAGGATCCTCAGGGGGAGATCCAGGGTTGGTATTTCAGTATCCCACAGTAACTGGTTTATTTCTGTTTTTTCTCATGTTTTCGTTTATGTTTTTATGCCATTCTCTTTTCACATGGAGTTCATGTTTTCATTGTCGTCCTGTCTCCTACCTCTGCATTGTTTTCTCATTCCTTCTTACCCATCTTCCCACTTCCTATCCATATTGCTGCCCGTTGCTCCACATTTTCCACCCATTATGGCAGTTTATGTACTATACAAACCCCAACAGTAGATGGTGTCCATTCTTGTATTATGTCTTAAGGTATCTCTGTCCCCTGTCTTCTGTGGTGTCAGCTCCTTTCCATCATATACCCCCTTCTCTTGCCTAGCTTATCCTCTTTTTCATTGTACCTCCTCCAGCATCTCAGTGCTCCTAACATCCCCTCTATCCACCCAATCTAGTGTCAGATGTCCCCGGTAATTGCGGTCTGTCCATTTCCTGTTATTTCTAATTCATAGTTTTGTCATTTAAGCCTTACCTGATTGATAACCTTTGTTCCTCCTTAGGTCCGTTCAGTACCCAGGAGATGGCAGAGTGGTGCCAAGCTGGATACTTTACCATGTCTCTCTTGGTAAAGCGAGGGTGTGACGAGGGTTTCCAGCCACTGGGGGAAGTAATTAAAATGTGGGGGAGAGTTCCCTTTGCCCCTGGCCCTTCCCCTCCTCCCCTGCTGGTGAGATATTATTGCGTGTTATGTAAAGTGAATATGTATAAAGTGTAAAGTTTCTAAGTGGTATTTGGTTAGCAGTTCTGGCTGGTAGAGCTGATCTTTAGATATTTTAGTTAAATGTGAGTGCAACATATAGTTCTGTTACATTTGGGGAGTGGTTCTATGGGTCTGTTACGTTTGGGGAGTGGTTCTATGGGTCTGTTACGTTTGGGGAGTGGTTCTATGGGTCTGTTACGTGTGGGGAGTGGTTCTATGGGTCTGTTACGTGTGGGGAGTGGTTCTATGGGTCTGTTACGTGTGGGGAGTGCTTCTATGGGTCTGTTACGTGTGGGGAGTGCTTCTATGGGTCTGTTTCGTGTGGGAAGTGCTTCTATGGGTCTGTTTCGTGTGGGAAGTGCTTCTATGGGTCTGTTTCGTGTGGGAAGTGCTTCTATGGGTCTGTTTCGTGTGGGGAGTGGTTCTATGGGTCTGTTTCGTGTGGGGAGTGCTTCTACGGATCTGTTTCGTGTGGGGAGTGCTTCTATGGGTCTGTTTCGTGTGGGGAGTGGTTCTATGGGTCTGTTTCGTGTGGGGAGTGCTTCTATGGGTCTGTTTCGTGTGGGGAGTGCTTCTATGGGTCTGTTTCGTGTGGGGAGTGGTTCTATGGGTCTGTTTCGTGTGGGGAGTGCTTCTACGGATCTTTCGTGTGGGGAGTGCTTCTACGGGTCTGTTTCTATTTCGTGGCTTCTAGTGGTATGGGTCTGTTTCGTGGGGAGTGCTTCGGATCTTTCGTGTGCTTCTTGGTCTGTTTCGTGTGGGGAGTGCTTCTACGGGTCTGTTTCGTGTGGGGAGTGCTTCTACGGGTCTGTTTCGTGTGGGGAGTGCTTCTACGGGTCTGTTTCATGTGGGGAGTGCTTCTACGGGTCTGTTTCGTGTGGGGAGTGCTTCTACGGGTCTCTTTCGTGTGGGGAGTGGTTCTATGGGTCTTTTTCGTGTGGGGAGTGCTTCTATGGGTCCGTTGCTTGTTGGGAGTGGTTCTATGGGTCCGTTGCTTGTTGGGAGTGGTTCTATGGGTCCGTTGCTTGTTGGGAGTGGTTCTATGGGTCTGTTGCGTGTGGGGAATTGTTGGTTTGACGATTGTGATGAATTTGTTTTTGTAATGCAAATACAGGTGGTCCTTACTTTGCAACCTACCTATTTTGCGACTGCTCGCACTTACGACCAGCTCTCTAGCATGGGGATTCAAGGGATTCCCCACGTTAGAGAGCTGGTCTATGTTTGGGCAATTTTTCCCCAAACATAGATTAGAGGGATTTCCTGATCTGTGCGTATGGAAATTTTCTCCGTAACCAGAGCAGGGAATCCCTCTAATATATGTTCGGGGAACGTTCCTCGAACATAGATTTGAGGGATTCCCTGCTCTGCTGCACTTGTCTGTGTTCGGAGAAATTTCCCGAACATAGAGCTGCACTGCTGCGCATGTGCCTCACTAACCGACCAATTTGTTTTACAACCGGGTCGTAAGAATGGAACCCAGTCGGTAAGTGAGGAGTATCTGTATACAAAAATCAGTCCTGAGCTAAAACCCCCACTACTCCTGGGCAGCAGCAATTACTAGTCAGCCCCAATACATGTAATCAAAATGCACTATCAAAAATCTTTATGCACAAATAACTGGGGGTTGTTTAGCTTCAGGTAAAAAAATCCAAATATGAGACAGGAGGGGTGATTTTCTTCTAAACCCCTACATGCTTATTAACCCTTAATGGGTAACTATAGTGCCCCTTCCCTTGCAGCCACTAGAGATGAAGTTAATCCTCCAGTGCAATTATTGCAGTAATTATCATTGCAGGGTTAAGGGACCTGGATGCCTATAATGTCCCTTTAATAGGGAACACATGGGGTGGGTGGAATCATTGTTTTGGAATATTGGTGACAAACCAATAAATAAACCAATGGTAGTTTTTATTGTTCCATTACAGAGAACACAGCAATCTCCAGTACTAACATCAGGTTATTGTTACTTTTATATGCAGTCTGTTTAGCTTGTGGGATTTATTTATTTTTTTAACCTACAGGGAAATATAGATCAGCAGTGTTTGAAAAAACAGCAGGAATTAGCTCTGTATCAGCAGCTGCAGCATCAGTACCTGCTCCAACTCCTCAATAAGTAAGTATCGGCCTGCCCAGCTATTCACTCACTCTGCCTCTCGTTATTGGCTAGTAATGACCCAACCACTAACCCTATTATTTATTTGCTGCCACCTGAATCTTCTGCCCTCATTCTTGGTCAATTATAACATAGAAACATAGAATGTGACGGCCGATAAGAACCATTCGGCCCATCTAGTCTGCCTAATTTTCTAAATACTTTCATTAGACCCTGGCCTTATCTTATAGTTAGGATAGCCTTATGCCTATCCCACGCATGCTTAAACTCCTTTACTGTGTTAACCTCTACCACTTCAGCTGGAAGGCTATTCCATGCATCCACTACCCTCTCAGTAAAGTAATACTTCCGGTTATTATTTTTAAACCTTTGTCTCTCTAATTTAACTCTGCTCTTGTTGTGGTAGTTTTTCTTCTTTTAACCTGGTTATCCGCTACAGGCCACAGTACTCCCCCCAGCAGAAATCTGGAGAGTTGACTCCTCAGCAGCAGCAACAGCTGACTTTGTTCCTGCAGCAGTTGAACCCTTCAAAATCCAGGTGATTATGTGATGTCTATATATAATAGAATACAGAGGCATTTTTAGTTTTCGTTAGGATTCCCAAATTCCTCTTAATGTGATCTTATCTTCCTCCCCCTTAGAGGGCCTGATGCCTCCTCACTCCTTCCTGCTATGAACAGATCTCTCTCTGTGCCAGACACTGGATCCCTGTGGGATCTGCATACCTCAGCTACGCAGACAGCAGGTGAGCTATTCTCCATGCAGAGGGTGCTGCTCTGTGAATAGTGTTTTATTCTTTTATACCTGTTGGCTTAGGCAGCCCTGCTAGTGCATTCGTTGAATCTATTCTTTTACTCGTAGGTGGGGACTCTGCAATATGGGACCTGCCTGCTGCATCTCAGGGGCCAATATTGGAACAGCTGCAACTGCAACAGAAGGTACAGTATGTCCACAGCTGGCTGTACTCTGAAATGGCGAGGCAGCTGGAGATGATTAAAATGCTCATCAGCAAATCAGAGCTATGAATAGTAACAGTGCCTCCTGGTGTTTATTTTGTGCCTGTCTGTATGAAATAACTATTTCATTGAAATGTGGGTGGGTGGTATTTTCTTCTAAAGTGCAGTTTTAACAGAATAGCATACAGGACCCTTTGAACTGGTGGAATTGCAATGGTGTATGTAGATGCAAGCAGTGATAAAACCGTTCAAGAGAAAAAGTATATGGACACACAGAAAGGAAGGGATTACTGGTAAAACGGTGAAGGAGTAGTGCAACCATAGCTAATCTTTGTGCCTGCTCAGCTGCAGGAACGCAGAGATGCAGAACTCAGGGCTAAGAGGGAAGAAGAGGAAAGGAAAAGGCGTGAAGAGAAAAGACGCCAGGAAGAACTGAAACGGCGAGACCAGGAAGAAGAGCTCTACAGACGCAAACAGGTTTGTTTCCTTTATGCGTTCCCATCTCCTAGTCTCTGCATATGGCCAGCTGTGTCTTGCACCACTCTCACCAGTAAGACCGGCGGTCAAGCAGTACAGTGTGCTTACATGGCACGTTGTACATTTTACATACATCAGTTCCTTGCTCTAACACATGCGCAAGACCTCAGCTTTTTTTGTCTCCATTTCTTGTACACATTCAGTGCCGCCAACAGCAGGAACTGCTGCTTAAGCTTATCCAGCAGAGTGGACAGCCCTCGCCTCCACCACATGGTTGGGGATCGCACTCCAAGGGGCTGACATTGAAAGCCATGCTCGAGATGCAAGAAAGAGAAGGACAACTTCTCAAGCAGAGAGGACAGTCATCGAGGAATGCGGTGAGAATGCAGAGCATTCAGGGCAGTTTGTCATTCTTTTTGGTAACTACATGGACCAATTGAGTTTAATCTGGTGACATAATCTCTGCTCTGCAGACAAAGCATGGCAGCATAATTTCCAGAACTGAGCAGGATTTTGTGACATTCGTTAATTCTTTGTCTTCAGCATGGAGGTCTTGGAATGTCAGGAGCTGCCATACTCCCTTCCCAGTGGGGCTCCGACTCTGGGTCTCTGTGGGGCAGTCTAGACAAGAGCCCATGGGAGGACAGTTTAAAGAGCGGAGTGAGCACACGAGGGCTAAGAAACAGCCGAAGCAGCCCTTCACTCACGTAAGTCAATGTTCAGCTTATTAAGTTCTAGTCTTATGGATGTCTGTACCTTCCCTCTTCTTTTAGACTGGATTTAAAGTGTCTTGTGTCTCTTTTATTGCCTGTCATTGCTTGTTTGTCCAAACGCTCCTTTCTTCCTAAGTCAATCATTTCCAGCGATTACCTTTCCGTCTTTTTTTCTCTCCTGTCTGTGCTTGTTCTGTAGCTCACAATAACTCTTATTCTTTCTCTCACCAGTGATGCGTACTCTGCTCGCCGTAAGAAGACCGAGGAGGAAGAGAAGCTTCTAAAACTCCTGCAGGGAATTAAACCATCAGATGGCTTTACTCAGTGGTGCGAACAAATGTTACACATTCTCAATACATCCAACAATCTGGACGGTAAGATGCATAGATGGCACATTCTCTTTCTAGTATACCACTGTCTGCTTAATGTATCTGATGCGTGCTAATCTGTCACTGTCCATTCCCTGCGTGCTAGTTGGTCCCTGTCCATCTCCTGTGTGCTAATATATCACTGACTGTCCATTCCCTGCGTGCTAATCTGTCCCTGTCTATCCCCTGCGTGCTAATCTGTCCCTGTCTATCCCCGCGTGCTAATCATTCCCTGTCTATCCCCACGTGCTGTTCATTCCCTGTCTATCCCCGCGTGCTGATCATTCCCTGTCTATCCCCGCGTGCTGATCATTCCCTGTCTATCCCCGCGTGCTGATCATTCCCTGTCTATCCCCGCGTGCTGATCATTCCCTGTCTATCCCCGCGTGCTGATCATTCCCTGTCTATCCCCGCGTGCTGTTCATTCCCTGTCTATCCCCGCGTGCCAATCTGTCATGGTGCTGATCATTCCCTGTCTATCCCCGCGTGCTGATCATTCCCTGTCTATCCCCGCGTGCTTTCTGTCTATCAGTCTATCCCCGCGTGCCAATCTGTCATGGTGCATCCGTTAGCTGTTAGCTTGTTTTCTTACAGGCCATGCAGTTTGCTCATTCTATTTGTGTCCACTTGTGGGCTAGGTAGATCACCCTTTTTTTGTCCATATCAGTACCGATATTTAGTCTGGTTTGAGTAATTGTTCTGTTCTCTTTAGTCCCCACATTGGTGGCCTTCCTGAAGGAGTTGGAGTCACCCTATGATGTTCATGATTATATCCGCTCCTGTTTGGGAGAAACTCTTGAAGCCAAAGAATTTGCAAAACAGTTCCTAGAACGAAGAGCAAAGTACAAAGCCAGCCAGAGACAGCAGGTACTGAACATGGTTCTCCTCTCTGTACACCATCTGTCCACTACACTGCGTTATTATACATTGCTTGTCATACTACTGTATAATATTCTCCATTGTTACACAGGAAAGCACCTGGTTGACTCCATCCATGTTCCCAACATCCCAAAATCTGAAGCAAAGTGGATTTGATGCACAGAGCAACAAGATGAAAAGGAGGATTCATATGTTACACTCAGATCCCAGCATTTTGGGTATATAAACTGTCTGTGTCTTGTATTAGAATGTAATGAATTCATGGCTTGTTAGCCTCCAGTCCCCAAGTTTAAATATTACCTACCTCGGCATTTAGCCCATCTCGTGCCTTCTCAGTGTCTCTCAAGATTTAACATATGATGTGCCGTGGATGATTGTCCACGGAGTCAAGATACAGGAAAAGATCAGGGAGGTGGCCACAGTGAGACGTGTCTATGTGGGATGCTCTAGTGGGAGTAAATTTCCATTTGTTGGTTGTTACAGGCTTCACACAGTGGGTTCCTTTACACAATGTACACAACAAAGGCTGCACGAACTACTGTATGTTTTATGCCCTCACATACATTGTACAAATAACCACACTTGGCGAGATAAGAGACAACTAATATGTGAGCAGAAAGTGTGCAGACACTAGGTAGATCTTAAAGGAACACTCTGAATATCACCATATGGTGCTAGTAGTTCCTTGGCAGCCTCCCATGGTAAGTAGTCAAGCCGCCAGGGTATCGTATACCTGTGCCATACTAGAAGCAGTTACCTGTGCTTTTGGGCTTTTCTTGCTGGGGGCTCTGTTTAGTTCTGCAGAGCTCATCAAAGCCACACAAGGCTACACTCATTGACTGAGGGCATCAGCAGAGCACTTTCAGCTAAAAAGCACGGCCCTGGATCATCTGTGCTTTCAATGTGACATTGGGTGTCTCCTGCAGTAGGAGCTGCTGCAGAGCGTGAGCTTTGGGGAACTTGGAAACTACTTACAGTGGGATGGCTTCATGGAACCATAACCACTACAGCAAACTGGAGCAATAAAGGTTTTTAAAGTGTTCCTTTAAGGAAATTCCTATCCAATTAATCCTGAACTTGCATATTAGAAGTATCTAATGACTGCTCTCTGCCTACCCTGAATGTTTATTAAAGGAACACAATAGCCTTAAAGGATCACTATAGGGTCAGGAACACAAACATGTATTCCCTATAGTGTTAACACCACTATCTAGCCCCTCATGCCTCCACAAATATAGAAATCTTACTGTATTCAAGCCTGAAGCTGTAACTCTGCATGCTGTTTGCCTCAAAAAAACAAGCAGTCTGCTGACATCATCAGAAGTGGTAGCCTGATCCAATCACAGTGCTTCCCCATAGGATTGTCTGAGACTGACAAAGAGGCAAATCAGGAGCAGAGCCAGCATGATTCAAACAGCTCTGCCCAATCAGCATCTCCCCATAGAGATGAATTGAATCAATGAATCTCTATGAGGAAAGTTCAGTGTCTGCATGCAGAGGGAGGAGATACTGAATGTTTGGATGCATTTTAGGCAGCCATGACCCAGGAAGGATCTCTAACAGCCACCTGAGGAGTGGCCAGTGAAGTTATCACTAGGCTGTAATGTAAACACTGCATTTTCTCTGAAAAGACTGTGTTTACAGCAAAAAGCTTGAAGGTAATGATTCTACTCACCAGAACAAATTCAATAAGCTGTAGTTGTTCTGGTGACTATAGTGTCCCTTTAATACAAGCATGACAATTAAAAAATAAGTAAATAATAATAATTTTATTGGTATCCATGTTACTGTCCTACCTTCTTGACTGAGATCATCAATTTTGATGATCTCAGCTAATCCGGTACTTCACTAGGGATGCTTTATGAGGCTAGCGCGCATGTGCAGCAATTCACTGACACAATCATAATATCCTCACGTAGATGCACTGAAACAATACATCTCTATCGGGAGTGTTCAGGGGCTCCAGGCAGAGTGCAAACATTGCAAGACCTCCAAGGTGACACTATATGCAGCAAGACCACTTCATGTCATTAAAGTGCTCTGGGTGCAATGTCACCTTAACCCCGCTATTGAAAACTGGTTGCCGTTTTAATTGCAATGTTAAGACAGCCAGTAGAGGCGCTTCCTGACATTTCGTAGTTTGACTCCGTGAAACAACGCTGGACATCCTCGCGCTTCTTCTAAGTCCCCAATATTAAGGCATTGAATCAAGGGACGGGAAGGCCTTATGCGTGCATGGTGTTTGCGGTGCATGCGCAGTTAGTTCCCCCTTTGTGGTGGTGGCGATGAAGCCTGTGCCCAGAGACTTTGGCGCTGCAATTAGGTAAGTAGTTAAAGGGTTGCAGGAGGGGGTGGCAGAGCAACACTGTAGTGTTAGGGATACAGCTTTGTATAGTGTTTCTTCAACTATGAAGGCGCTCTCTTGGCGGTCGTTTACTCATAAAAAGCAACATATACAATGTTCTGCAAGCAGGGACAGGCTGTTTGCCCCACAGCCACTACAATGATCTGTCTCTTTAACTCCGCGTTTGTTAGGATGTTATTCATAGAGTTCAATGAGTTGTCGTTTATTTTTTTATTTATTTTTTTGCATGACTGGTTCACACTTCCTAATGTGTATATGTGGGTATACACAATATATTCTGTTTGATATTGTGTTATTTAGGAATTTTCATAACTATAAAATATACATTTTCACAATGTTTTCTCTCCTTTCCCTCACCCCATCCCAATTTCTATCCCTTCTGTGCAGGATACTCCCTCCACGGCTCCTCCGGTGAAATGGAAGCCATTGATGACTACTGAGGCGCGTTTTTTACTTCAACGCCATCTTTAATTCACCTGTCGCACTATTTGCGGCAATAATGCACTGCAAACTTTGCCCCTCCCTTTGCATGATGTGTCTGGGGAAGGGACAAGGACTGGGAGACGAGGGGTGACAGTTACCCTAACCAGAGCCAGGGAGGAGGGGGTGGAGCTAGAGAGGGGATTCCCTCAATCCCCCCCCCCCACTCCCCAAAACTTTGATGCACTCATTTTAAAGCACCTTAAATAATGCACTTTACAGAAACTGATCAAAAATCTGAATTATTCCTGTTTTTGACCCTTTTTTTTTTTATCAAAAAAGAAAAAAAAACATTAAAAATGGAGGGGAGAACTGGATTTACCGACGTTTGACTGTTTTGTTTTTTTTTGTTTAACATTTTGTGTTTAGACGTGTTTTTTTTTTTTGTTGTTGTTTTTTTATGGGGTTTTTGGTTTTGTCTTTCTTTTTTTTTTGACAGTTTCTGACTTTTTTTTTTTATGTATCAACAAGTGAAGTTTTTGGCAACAAATATATAAAAATATTTTGGAAAAAAACAGCCAAAAACTTATTTTATTTTTTTGTTATAAGTTTTTTTTTTTGTGCAAAATCTATATATATATATATATATTTTTTTTTTTAACAAAATGAAGAAAAAAATAGAAAAAAAAATAAATAAAAATGAAAAAAAGAGGGGGGGGGGAACATTTTTGTAAGCTTTTTGCAAAATGAAAGGGTTTCCTTTGATATTCCCTGTTATGTTTGGGAGGGGAGAGCAAGTGATTAATCCATGAAAACTTGAAGAATGCACTTATCTAGCAATTTGGGTGGAGGAGATTAAAACTGTATTTTCAAATGTTATTTTTTTTATTTTTTTTTTGCACAGATACAATTTTTTTTTTATAAAAAAAAAGTGTAAAAAAAGCAAACAAAAAAAAGCAACCCTCCACCCACCCTGTAATTTTTTTATTTTTCTTTACCCCTTCATCTCTTCACACTAGTTTTTTTAGTGGCTTACAATCTCTGGTTTGAAATCCTTAAACCTGTGAAGGATATAATACTGCAGGGGTCAGGATCCCAAGCATTACCGAACGCCAGGACTGTCTGACACCACTTACCAATTCCTGCTCCAATGACAGGAAGAGCTGTGCGTATTTTTGTTTTAGTTATGGGATTTCGAACCTTTTTTTCCCTTTTTAAAAGGACTAGTCCAAGGTACCTGTACTCTTATCCTGCTATCCCGGAACAGTTATTTGTGTGTTTAATTTTGAATCCTGCTTTTGTTTACAATTGTCCTCATGGGGGACATGTCGCTAATGAACCTGGGCAAAGGAATTCTTTTGACTTGTGGTGGGGAGAATAAATGGAGCTTTGCCAGAAGTGTGCTCACAACCTACCCACTTGGGTATTTTGTTGGCTGTGATGGTGTATGGTGCAGTTGCCTTAATGTTGACTTCAGAGCACTACATCACCCACACCACAAAAGTCCTTGGACAGTGTGGGACTATGTCATAGGTTTCTGCCCACTTATACCGTTTGGGACAGTCGCTGTATTCCTCACTCTTCAAGAGCTTTCTCAGCACTTGATTAGGAGAACTATCCTAAAAAACAAGCCACAGACCAGCTTATCTGAAGAAAGTGATCTCACAATTTGTGGGCTCCGTCTGAAATCTTTGGTCTGTCAAAGGACTTGGACGTCACAGTTGAACATGATTAATTTGAAGCCTGAGACTGACGTCCCCAAGAGTAGCAGTGTTTAATGGTCCTCCATAGGGCCAAAGAGACTTGTGTTGTGGATCCATGCAGAAAACCTCACCATCTCCTTCAAATGATGTGTGATCTATGAACATTGTTATGTGTAAATACAAATGCAACAGGAAAAACTCTAACTCGCAAAAATGGGGCTGTTTCATGCCTACAAAAGCTTGTTCTAAATTTGTTTAGTTTTTTACTTTATTTTACTCTTTTGCTGTGGGTTTGAGTTTCTTCTCCGCACGAATGTATTAGGGCAGGAGCTGGCATCCAGCATTTAAACTGCCCCCCAAAGCCCAGTGTATGTCTGCACAGAGCCCCATGTCACTTGGGTGTAGGGTGTTTATATGGGGCTGCCAGGAACAATGAATCCCTGCACTCACTGTGTGTAAATAATGGGGTGTGTACTTAGTATGGCTTACAGGTGTATTGTGTTGAATGTAACGCAAGCATACCCCCATGCTGTCTGCTGAGCTCTATCTGTATATAAATATATATATATAGTGTGTGTGTGTGTGTGTATAGCTATCGCCATGTAGAGAGATACACTCACTTAACTGGAAGTGTACAATAGTCAGTAGTAAAATACTCTCAAGCACAGCTTACTCCATTACAATTGCCTTGAACCCTTACCAGCCTCAACAGCAGAAGGGGGTGGCAGAGATTTTTGGGAGTTGTAGTCCTGTAACCACTGGGGTGTGCATTTGATGGTGGCTGCTATGAGGCTTGGAACAGACAGGTAAAAGGTTTTGCTTTTTTTAGCATACACAAGTCATGCTAGGTCAGTCTGCGGTAAGCTTGCACTGTCTGGAATGAACGCTTTGTCCTGCAGTTCGGGATGTATGTATGCAGATACATGGATATGTACCCATGTATGTACTGACACACTAGGTAACTGTATACATGAGCTGATCCGCACACGCCTACATAGAACTATACAAACATGCCTCTGTCAACTGTGGGTATTTGTGCATACCAAGGTTTCTGGCCGTAAAGTCTATACACACGTACAAAAGGTGCCCAAACTAAATCTAATGTGATCCACATCAATTCTCACCAGTTATATTGGGTGAAAAGGCCTGCATGTTTGTATATACAGATACATACACATTTACATCAGTCTGTGTGTATTTACACACATTTATATAATTTGTTCGGCTGTGTATACATGTACTCGCATACCATTGGGTATGTTCCATCAGTGTGTGTCTATAGACCTACACATGTTAACATGCCTTTTTTTTTGCCTGTTATTTTCTCTATTTTGTGATAATTTTGCCTTATTTTTCAGTATTAAAAAATTGAAGTGAACTAAATCTGAGAATTTTTATCTATCCATTTAGGTTTAATCTGCAACAGATTTAGCAATAAGAGTGAATAATGCAGATTTTGTCAATTCCTGTTCTGGAGAGTGTAATTATAGAATGCAGAAGTTTTAGGACCTATTCAAGGAATATAAATGTTCGTAGTATCATTGCTGTAAACACTGCCGTCCTGCCTTCTGTCCTACAGGACGTAGAGCTCCCACTGGGAGCTTCTGATAAAACCCAGCAGCCAATCAGATCCTTTCTGTCCTGGGAGCTTAACAGCAGCTTCTTGTTGCAATTTGATTATTTTCTTAATATTCCTTGATGTATTGTATAACTTTCAAAAAGGTTTTTTTGTTTCCTTTACACTTTAGTTGGACAGCTGCCATTTGTGTCGGCTTAGTTCTCTTTTCAAATAACCTTATCCTTGTTGGGTTAGAGCAATGACCATTTGTTCTTGTATTACACTTTCTTCAAATTACTGTTTCCCACCAAGTTTGTTTGATTCCCAAAGGTATTTGAATATTTGTAATATCAATCACCCTTGCCTACTATAAATAAAAACTCTGGTCTATCTGCTTTGTAAAAAGAAATTATATGAATTAACTTGTTAGTTGTGTTTTTGTTTTTTTGTTTTGTTAAATATAAATTGCAAGATCTATCCAATCAGAAGAGGCGTCTTGACCCTATATCTTACAGAAATCCCAGTGTGAAATGGTCTTATCCCACGAGAGGGGGCATCAATGATCCTATAACTTATAGGAATCCCTGTGTGTGAGACGCTCTCTTATCCCATCAGAGGGGGCGACACTGACCCTATAACTTATAGGAATCCCTGTGTGTGAGACGCTCTCTTATCCCATCAGACGGGGCGTCACTGACCCTATAACTTATAGGAATCCCTGTGTGTGAGACGCTCTCTTATCCCATCAGAGGGGGCGTCACTGACCCTATAACTTATAGGAATCCCTGTGTGTGAGACGCTCTCTTATCCCATCAGAGGGGGCGTCACTGACCCTATAACTTATAGGAATCCCTGTGTGTGAGACGCTCTCTTATCCCATCAGAGGGGGCGTCACTGACCCTATAACTTATAGGAATCCCTGTGTGTGAGACGCTCTCTTATCCCATCAGAGGGGGCGTCACTGACCCTATAACTTATAGGAATCCCTGTGTGTGAGACGCTCTCTTATCCCATCAGAGGGAGCGTCACTTATAGGAATCCCTGTGTGTGAGACGCTCTCTTATCCCATCAGAGGGAGCGTCACTGACCCTATAACTTATAGGAAACCCTGTGTGTGAGACACTCACTTATCCCATCAGAGGGAGCGTCACTGACCCTATAACATATTAGAATCCCTATCCAAGTGAAAGCAGGTTGCAGTTACTAGCTTGTCAGGATGCATATTACTCCCAGAAATAGCCTGTTAAAATATTTACAAAGAAAATCCATATGTACACATGGGAATTTCTAAGCATAATCCTGACAGTTTGTGGTAGTTTAAAAATATAAATAGCTTTTCTTTCAGGAGCTTATGTTTAGTACTATGACCATATATATATAGAGAGAGAGGGGGGGGGTTAGACTGTACTGTGTTTAAATGTCACACTTGCTCCCTATCTTGTTTGATACTGTTGGGTATAAATTGTATTTCTAGTTTGTATTTTAGAAGCACTTGGCGCTATATATTTTTAGTTAGAAGTAACAAATAGCTCATTGTTTCTAGTAAACCATGAGCTTTGCTCCAATAAGCAAAATGTAAGTCAGGTGTAACATGTCAGGAGGGTTTCCAGATGGGAGAATTCAGAAAAAAGTAAAGCGTATAAGTAACTGTAATGTGACAGAAATGGTGTTTTAGCTCTGGTTACTTTGAATGGGATCCACGACTGTTTTGAGACCAGATCTTTTTTATGATTGCTTTCAGAACCTTCTCAATCCGATTGAAAAACAATAATACAGAGTAACTGTAACACTGCAAAATGTCACCTTTTGGAAAAACTGCACTGAGCTCTGTCCTAACTAGGAAGTAACTCAGTTCATCATCATGCTCCTTTATATTCTTATAGCAATGTCCATTATATCCTGCATGCAGTGCTTTCTACTGTATCAAACCGCTAAAATAAGATTATCAGAATTCTCGAATGATCTTAGTATATACACACCCAGTATAACTAACTGTAACTTAACCTACACAGTGCACCCAACGTGTGTGAGAGCCTGAAGTGTCCCTTTAATAATATAAACCCACCCAGTATAACTAACCTAGCCTACATATTGCGCCTAACGTGTGGGAGCCTTGAGTTTCCCTTTAATAATATAAACCCACCCAGTATAACTAACTGTAACGTAACTACAGAGTGCATCTAATGTGTGTGGGAACCTGGAGTGTCCCTTTATTAATATAAACCCACCCAGTATAACTGTAGCCTAACCTACACCGTGCATCTAATGTTTGTGGGAGCCTGGAGTGTTCCTTTAATAATATAAACGTAGCAGGCTTGCCGACAATCCGACCGGTTGTCCTTGCTCAGCCACGTCTTGTCCCTGGAAGGGAATCGGCTATAACACAGAGAGAACCATTCTCCCACTCAGTAACCGAACGACATAGTCCTGGGGGGGGGTACAACTCAACTTTATTGGCCACACTCTGCAAGGGGTGGACCACACACAACAGCAATGTCTCCTCCTGGGGGCTGCATTACAGAACTGGAACCCCAATCCCTTTGTCCCCAGTTCCCGTCACCTATCCTCAGGGTTTCCCACCTCCGGTGACCAGAGGATTTTTATCCCATGAGTCCCAGCGCGGCAAAACTTTCGCCTCTGCAACTCCCAGCTACAGAAAGCCCACCAACCGTCACTGACCCTATAACCAACCTCAGGGACCCCCAGAACAGTAACTGCCTCTGCTCGTGGGGTACCTGGGTGAAACCAGGCCAGGGATGTGTCTCCTTCCGGGACACGAATGCTCCCCCTGGCTGCCATTCGTCTATACTAACGGCATCCGCCCAAGGAAGCACTCTTTAATTACTTCCCTTGCGGTTTTGTCACATATGTTGCAAGTTGCCAATGTTCTAATTGGTGTGAACACTCCAAGGGGCACTAGGGAGCTCCTTGTTCGGGAACCAAACAAGGTGGGAAGCAATCCACGAATGCTTGGGGATGTCCGGGGAGTGCTCCTGGATCACTTCTACAGGGCTGTCTGTCTTGATAACCCGTCAGCATTGCCGTTTTGCTTACCGGGTCTATAGTGGATGGTAAAGTGGTATGGCTGTAGCACCAAGCTCCATCGTAACAGCCTGGCATTGTCCTTCAGATGAGGTTAAGCCATACCAGCGGGTTTTGATCTGTGAGCAGGGTGAATTGCTGTCCATAGAGGTAGGGCTGTAGTTTTTTGAGGGCCCAAACCACCACTAGGCACTCCTTTTTGACAGCGGCATAGCTTACCTCCCTGGGTAGTAACTTCCTGCAGAGGTAAGCCATGGGATAATCACCGCTGACCTTGTTCAGTACCGCTCCTTACCCAAACATGGAGGCATCTGTATGAACGAGAAAACATTTTCTAGGATTAGTATCAGCCAGACCAGGGGCATTCACCAAGACGTTTTTGAGAGCTTGGAACGCCTGCTCACGCTCTGGAGCCCAGTCTACCTGTCCGAGTAAGGTCTTTTTGGGTCAAGTTGGTGAGGGGCTTAGCTAAGGCGCTGTAGTTGGGGACAAGTTTCCTGTAATAACCCGCAGTACTAGGAAGGTCATCACTTGGACCTTGTTGCTTGGGTGGGGCCAGTTAGCTACGCCCTCTATCTTGGCTAGTTCGAGCTTCTGGAACCCACACCCAACTCGGTGTCCTAGGTACTGCACCTTTGCCATTCCTAGGTGGCACTTGCTTGGCTTGAGGGTCAACCCTGCCTCCTTAATCCTGTCTAGTACAGCTACCATGTGTACTAGGTTCCCTTCCCAAGTGTCGCTGTAAATGGCAATGTCATCCAGGTATGCACAAGCATACTCCTGGAGGCCATCCAGCAGCCTCTGGAAGGTGGCTGGGGCATTCTACAGCCCAAATGGCATCAACTTAAATTGGTACATATCACACTGGGGATTGCTATGCTCTGTATGCTCCCCTGAGCTTGATTCACTAAGCTCTTTTAAGAGCTTGTTCCTGACACGCTCTCCTTGGAGGGGGGGGTCTTCCCCGCACAGTCCTGGATGCTGGAGGTTCATACAGGGTGGAAGGAAGAAGTCTTTCCCACACGATCCTGGAGGGCAGAAGCTGATCCAGGGTGGAAGGAAGCGAGACTCCAGTCAAGCTACAGCGGTTGCGGAGTCTGCGGAGGTTGTGGTGTCCGGTGCGGTGCTTGTGGTCCTCGGCGCAAGCTAGGAAGCGTCCATCAACGGAGGGTACTCAGTTGGAGTACGGGGAGCTCCGTTACAGACCCTGCCTGAGCTACCTCTAGGAGGGTCGGGCAGGGAAAGATTGTCAAAATCTTCCGAGGCTGGAGCACACATGGCGGCTACATCCTCAGTCCGCTCGTGGTAGGGCTTCAGCATGTTGACATGCAACAGGCGTCGGACTCCGGTACCTGAACATGGGCCGATCACATAGGTAGTGTAACATTTCTGCTCCACTACCCAGTATGGGCCCTGATGGGCTTCAGAATTAAAACCTTCTGCCAGACTTGAAAGCTACGGCTCCTGGCACCCCGATCATACCATGTGCGCTGGCGCCTCTGGACCGCCTGGATGTTCTTCCGCACCAGGTGGGTGAGTTCCTCCAGCTGATACCTGAACTCCAGCACATAAGGGACGATGGGGGTCCATTCCTGATCTCCAGTTCCCTCTCAGTGCTTTCGGACAAGGTCTAGGGGGCCACTCACTCTCCCCACAAGATCAGCTCGAATGGGGAGAAACCTGTAGATTCCTGGAGCACCTCCCGATATGCAAACTGGAGATGTGGCAGGAATCTTTCCCAATACTTGCGTGTTGCTGCAAAGGTACAGAGCATTTGCTTCAATGTGCCATTAAAGCGCTCGCACAGGCCAATTTTCTTGGGGTGGTAAGGGGAGCTCAGGATCGGTTTAATGCCGCATAACCTCCACAGTTAGGCATCTCGGCAGTAAACCCATTCGGGAGAACACTCGCATCAGGGCTTTAGCCACAGTCTCTGCCTGAATTTTGCTCGGGGCGACTGCCTCAGGGTATTGAGTCGGGTAGTACACAATGGTCAGAATGTATTTCTTCCCTGAGGGACTAGGTTTAGCCAGGGGGCCGATGATATCGACAGCTACTCTGCCGAAGGGGTCTTCGATGATGGGCAGGTGAAGGAGCTTGGGCTTGTGCAGGTCGACCGCTTCCCCACTCGCTGGCAGACATCACAGGTCTGGTAATACTGCCTCAGTTCCTTAGAGATGCCTGACCAGAAAAAGCTTTGGATGAGCTGGCTCCGGCCCAAATGCCCTGCCAGGGGAATATCGTAAGTGTATTAAGGCTGTCCTTAGGAATTCGTATTGAAAATGTATTCGGGTAATTGTTTTCCTGTATGTCTGTAAAGTGTATGTAGTTTTCGTATGATCGGTAGTTTCATACAAATGAAACTACCGAACCATCAGACCACCCCCGTGAGAAGTGTGCGCCTCGTTAAGCGTTCACACTCTGCAAACCGCAGCTTAATTGATACATTGCATGTGCCTGTGTGGTCGCCGTTCGGCATACGAACCACGTGCGGCGGCCATCTTACGCATGAAAATCTCAGCGGTATTTGGCTGTCGAGTGTCTGGAACTCAAATCGGACACAAACAACCGAACACCGCTGAGACCTCCAGAGTTCCATAACTCACGAACGGAGGGACTAGTCAGCCCTCCGTTCGGTAAAATCAATGTCCCGAACAAGGGGATTGATGCGAATGGAAGATTAGCTGTGGATGGCAGATATTTCTATGTCTTCTAACTCCCGAACAGAGACTGACCGCAAGGCCAAAACACACAGAGCCTTTTTCGGATACCACCTCGTGTGCGGTCGGTCAAATTACACCCGCCACTTAACTACCAAACCCCTGGTCCGATCTGGGTGAATTTTGGATATGTTAGTCACCCAGATCAGGGCTAGCAGGGGGTACCCCAAGTATTATTCTAACTGCTTGTTTTGTGGTACATCCAGAACTCGGGGAAAACTACAGCATGATTAATGGGATTATGTGTCACACTGAGGGGAGGAGATGTGTGGGAGGTAACTGTTACACTATTGGATACTGTACTGATTAATGTGAATCCCTCCCTTGCATGGGAGAATGCTTTATAAGGAGGTTGTGTGGATTAAAAGTCAGTTCTGCTCCTGATGCTCTGTCGTCCAGTCATTGGGATCTGTATGGGAATATTCGTGGATTACCTTGCTTGCTTGGATTATTATTATTCTATGGTGTTTGTATTACTTGTTCCTGAGCCTCCCTGGGATCTTTAGTGTAGTTTACCTGTGAAATACCAGCTCTCCGCTACAGTAAGCTATCTTCAGCAGCTCATGTAGATACTTCCTTGGTGCCACCAACTGCTTGGTGATAGTAGGAGCTGTACCTGACTACTTGTTCTCCGCTTTGCGGTACAGTCGTCACCGCTCCCCCTCCTTCCCTACCCGTGTCTGCCCTGTCTCTACATGCCTGGAGAGTCAGGTCGGGCTCTACCTCCCTCTCAAACTTACAGTGGAATAACGCAGAGCAATTCATGAAGAGGCACAATAATCCCATCCAGTATAACTGTAACCTAACTACAGTGCATCTAATGTTTGTGGGAGCCTGTGTCGTATTTAAAAAGTAATAAATTGATAAGGTCCGTAAATAACCTGGAGGATCCCAGTGTTGGATGACAATGTTTTCAGTCTAGGAGATCTTCAGAAGACATTCCACAGTGTAGCCATGGAAGTGTCCAGAAATACCAACTACACCCGAACAACCAAGGTTAAGACCGCAGGTAAGTCTCAAGAATCGAATGGCAGGTACACTTACTTAAATAAAACTTTCTGCTCATAACAACACACTTTTTATCTAAAATTCAATGATGGAGAATAAAAAAAAGAAGCTTGTCATCCAACTATGATTTAGATCATCATTTACTTATCATTTAGGCTGATGTTAATAGCAACTGGATGGTGAAATATTTTTGCGTTTGGTCTTATGCAGCTTTAGTAAGTAGACGTTCATCAGACCTCATTCACCAAATGGTGGCCAAAACAATTCTCATCTTTTTAATTCATCCAGTATCTGTATTGAATACAGATTATGAACCTTTTGTTTAAAATGCCACAACAGCAGCTCTTTTTGCCTTATGTATGTTTTCTCTCTGAATAGGCACTTTCACTTTATGGATTGTCTTCATCTAATATGTGTTCGTAATGTAGCGTATATCTCAAAATGAAAAAGTAGTTCAACCCAATGGTAGAAAAGGAGCAAAGAATTTAGGGGGAATTAATGCCTAGCACAGGGTTTTAACTATAAATGAGAATTGTATGTAACTGTAATTTTATTTTTCTTGTCAACGTCCTTGACTGCTTTATTCTTGAGTTGGCTCCTCTCAGTTCAGGACATGAATTAGAACAGATTTAATTGAATAAACATTAGCTCATTCTTACCATTGCACTTTGTCAATCTGTCACCGGATACATAGGGAATGCCGCCAGACTGATTTTCCTCTCTAGTCGGTCCTTTTACACCTCACCCCTCTGCCAGTCTTTACATTGGCTCCCTGTATCCTATAGGAGTCAATTCAAAGAGCTAACCCATACCTATAAAGCACTGAATAATCTTAGCCCCTCATATCTCCTCACAGATCCATAGGTATGCCCGTTCTCGGTCTCTCTGCTCCGCCCGTGACCACCTGTCCGCTGCTCTGACCCGTACAGCCAACTCGCGCTTGCAGGACTTCTCGTGGGCGGCTCCCTTCCTATGGAATAGTCTGCCTACCGCCATCAGACTCTCCCCTAGTCTTCAATCGTTTAAGAAGTGCCTTAAAACCCATTTCTTTAGGAAAGCTTATGGCCTCTCAGACTACCCTCTACCTCACATACCTGTCTCTTGCTCTCTCCTAAAGGGCAGCACTCTACTCTCTCCTCCAGCTCTGCTTCACTCCCACCTAATTTGACTGCAATTTCCTGTCCTAATGTGTTTTATACCCCACCTCCTATTGACTGTAAGCTCATTTCAGCAGGGCCCTCTTCAACCTATCGTTTCTGTAAGTTTTCTTGTAATTGTCCTATTTGTAGTTAAATCCCCCCTCTAATACACCCTGTTCCAAATTATTATGCAAATTATGGTTTTCTCATTACCTAAATAATTGATGGAAATAAGTCAGCATAATTCTCATGTTATTAACTATTGAGTACAATTCAAATTTTATTGAACAAACCTAATAACAGTATTTTTTTTAAGCATAAACTTACAATGCCCTGTTCCAAATTATTACGCACAGTAAGTTTCAAATCACTTTATAGGTTGTAAAGAACTGAAAATTGTCATTTGTTGTGTTTGCAGCATATTTACTGAAATCAAAAACTATTTCAATCAAACTTATAACAATATATTAACTTTTTAAACATTTTAACATAGGACCCCTTATTTGATAGCAGCTTCACAAGTCTTGCATCCATTGAACTTGAGTTTTTGGACAGTTTCTGCTTGAATTGGTTTGTAAGATGTCAGAATAGCCTCCCAGAGCTGCTGTTTGGATGTAAACTGCCTCCCATCCTCATAGATCTTTTGCTTGAGGATGCTCCAAAGGATCTCAATAGGATTGAGGTCAGGGGAGTATGGAGGCCACACCATGACTTTCTCTCCTTTTATAGCAGCCATTGATGCAGAGGTATTCTTTGCAGCATGAGATGGTGCATTGTCATACATGAAGATGGTTTTATTACGGAAAGCATAGTTCGTCCTTCTGTACCAGGGAAGAAAGTGGTTAGTCATAAGCACCACATACTTTGCAGAGGTCATCTTTACACCTTCGGGGACCCTAAAGGGGCCGACCAGCTCTCTTCCCATGATTCCGGCCCAAAACATGACTCCTCCACCACCTTGCTGACATCGCAGCCTTGTTGGAACAGGGTGGCTGTCCACCAACCATCCATCTGGACCATCCAGGGTAGCATGGCACTCATCAGTGAACAGGACTGTTTGAAAATTAGTCTTCATGTATTTTTCTGCCCAATGCAGCCATTTCTGCTTGTGAGCATTGGTTAGTGGTGGCCGAATAGAAGGTTTATGCACAGTTGCAAGACTCTGGAGGACTCTACACCTTGATGTCCGTGGGACTCCAGAGGCACCAACAGCTTCAAATATCTGTTTGCTGCTATGTAATGGTATATTAGCAGCTGCTCTCTTGATCCGATGCATGGATCTGGCAGAAATCTTCCTCAATGTGCCTTTATCTGCACGAACCCGTCTGTGCTCTGAATCAGCCACAAATCTCTTAATAGTGCGATGATCACGCTTAAGTTTTCGTGAAATATCGAATGTTTTCATACCTCGTCCAAGGCATTGAACTATTCCACTCTTTTCAGCAGCAGAGAGATCCTTTTTCTTCCCCATGTTGCATGAAAATGGTGCTCTGCTTGATAATGTGGAACACCCTCCTTTAGTAGTTTTTCTTTCATTTGGGCTCACCTGGCAATCTAATTATCACAGGTGTCCGAGATTGTTTTCAGTTATCAAAAGAGCCCTGAGACACAATGCCATCAATGAGTTAAACTGAAAAACAAAATATTTAGTCTTTGTGACACTTAAATAGAATTTGCATAATAATTTGGAACAGGATGTAATATTGTAAAGCGCTACGGAATCTGTTGGCACTATATAAATGGCAATAATAATATATTGTGCCCAAATTATATTAAATATGACACCCAAAATATGACAGGGAGGGAAAAAATTAAGCAGTTCGGGCAAATTAATTCTCTGAATCAAAAGCTACATCTAAATGTATTTTCTGTGCACAATAAGTTGGCATATTGTACACCTCATCCATTTACTTTAAAGGGACATTATAGTTACCCAGACCACTTCAGCTCAATGAAGTGGTCTGGGTGCTAGGTCCCTCAGGTTTTAACTCTTCAGATGCAAACATAGCAGTTTCAGAGAAAGTGCTATGTTTACATTTAGGGTTAAGCCAGCCTCTAGAGGCTGTCTTCCACTTTTTCTTGACACTATAGTGATCCTTTAAGTAGCAATAGAGGATGCATAATCTTTTCTTTAACAGAACATTCTGTATCAGTGGTATCGCCAATGGGACTTAAATACCCTTTTTAGAATTGGAAATCACAGCCTTCTTGGCCAATGAATTAGAACTATTACCGTCACATTCTTATGATTTTCTTCCAAGACTCTCGCCATTAGGTGAACTGGTGTGAAAACTTAACAATGCTTAAAATTTCACTTCCTTGGCAAACCTCCCTTCCTACTGTATTATTGGTTGGTATACTTTAGAAGAAAAGGACCTGCATGTTCTTCGTGGCAATCAAGTCTACCGGTCGTGGTCAGTGCATACACTTGTTTGAAGATATTGGAATTTAAGTGCCATACTCCCAGCTCCAGCTTGCTTTTGCTTAGGAGATCTGCTATTGTATTCTCCTTCCCTAACCACTACATGGCTTGAAGTCCCTGATAATGTGGTTGCATCCAAAAGAGGATTCCAATTTCTACATTTTTGTTTCACCTTGTCTGTTTATACATTGACATATTGTTTAACCCCTTAAGGACACATGACATGTGTGACATGTCATGATTCCCTTTTATTCCAGAAGTTTGGTCCTTAAGGGGTTAAAAAAAAAAAAAAAAAAACTTTCCTGAAATTCACTCTGTTCCAGGACATCTAATTAAATAATCTGATTCCAATGAGGAAATTTACCTTGGGCTGTCACGTTCTGGGAGTAGGCTTTGTGACGAGACCAATCTCGCCACATTGCATTGAAGAAGCCTGGTTGCCTGTTGCCTTTGGATTATGGCCCCATGTTAAAAGGCTTGATTTTCCCCTGCAAAGACAAGAAAGCCGGGTCATTTGGTGCTTGCCCTGTTTGAGCAGTGATACCCCAGATAGCTATGCCATGGAGCTCATTCGTATAATGAAAGACTATGGGAAAGACTTTGGCTCCATGGCAATTGAACTGTATGTGTGTCGTCTGAGCGCCATTCAGTAATAATGTGCGCTTAGACCTAAGCTATCTGGGCATATGTTGCATGTCTGTATTTTATGTCATAAATGTAACATTGTGTATTTTATTGTATTTTACTGTCTTTTTGCTGCCATGTGTTCAGTGGAGTTTTGCCTCTGTCTTTGGAGATAATTGGATTACTTCTAATTATCTCCAGGATAGAAGACTCTGTGGAACTGGTTTTGGGCAGAAAAGCCATGCTTCCTGTGGTCACAAAGGACTACGATCTATCTTTTGAACCACTGGACCAATTTGTATGATTTTGACGTATGTTTGTATTTGGAGTATGCTGATTCTGAAAATGTATGTGAATGTGATGCATACTTTTCAAGTTATGAATAATGTGGAAAAATTTATTTTTCTGCTTGTGCTAAATTACATTACCCATTGTGTAAGGTAATTGAATCACATGCAGAGGGGAGGAATTTGTGTGGGAGTGTCTGAGTGTATTGTATGTGTTTATTGGTTGTGTTCCAAAACCCTGTGGGTGGTACTAATGTGTAAGAATGTGTACATAAGCACAATAAACCCACAGCTCTGTCTGTTCACTGCTTGACCCTCAACACGGAGCTTTGTCTCGTTCTTGGGGGGATTTATTGTATGCTGTTCCAGTTTGACTGCTAGGAGTGTAAACCTATTCGTATGGTTTTTCCTATTCGGCTGTTTACAGCATTTGTATGGTTTCCTGTTCGGCGGATTGGTGTTCTGCAGTAGCTGTGCCTGTGCATCTGGAAAGGGGGACGATCGCCTAAACGGTTTTTACCCCTTGTGTGCTTTAAGCCTGGTTTTAATGTGACTAATATGGTTTTACAGTTTGGTTCTTGGAAAACCATAGATTGATGGATTTTTTTTTTTTATTCCGTGCACTCAGACCTCCTCTTCTAAACAGGTGCAGTGATGCTTTCATTTTAGCTCTTCATTGTAAACCATTGCAGTTTTGGATATATGTCATTGTTTTAATTGAAGGGTTAGTAAACACCCACCTCTGTGCAGGGGAGACAATAGAGATAGTCAGTTTTAAAACACTGTCCTACACATGGTGCATGCGTATTGCTGTCATATAGTAAACGTAGGGATTACATTTTCTGATTATTTTTACATAGATTCTGTAATAAAGTATATTTCCTTTCAAAATGTGATGAAATTATTGTTATATTAAAAATAGTTGTGAAGTGACAGTTATCAAGTCCATATGAGGGTCTTAATCTCTGGGCAGAAGACTAGGCACAGCCACAAGCCCACTCTTCTTTTCACCACAGGTGCAAGATAATCTGGAAGTGGACCAGCTGTTCCCATTAACCGAAAAGAAGAGCTTACAGCATATGTATGAAAGTAGAGGTAGGTTTTTTTGTTTTCTCTCCATTTAATCTCTTGAGGTTGGAGAACTAGGATTCATGGTCTGTTTGGATTGAAATTCTATCCTAGGTCCATTCTTGTAATTGCGAGGACCCATTATTCTAGTACAGTTTGTTCCCAGACCAAGAAGCTTAGGCATGTTCCTTAACACTGGTGGACTACCATCTTCAGAATAGGTTACATTTGTTAGCCAGAGGGGTGTAATGATTATTCTATTTGGCTGATTTACCCCCCTGTTGGGTATCCTGGAGTGCTCTCTTAATGAATTGACAAGTTTTGCTTCCGCTTGTGTGACTCCCATGTTTGATCTGTAGGGTGCAGAGTGCTCCGCATTGCTTCAGCTGACAGAGAAAGGGGTCTTTAAGGGGTTGCGTATTGTTACGGTTGCCCCAGGCTGGCTGAGGGTTGGATTGTAGATGGATGCTCCTAGCACTCACCAAGGACCATCAGCACCGCACCAGACACCATAAGCACCGCAGACCCCACGAACTGCCGCAGCTTGGTTGGGATTCTCGCCGTCTCTTACCCAGCCTGGGCCTACGACAAGGCTCCAGGTTCCAGTGGGTGAACTTCTTTCCCCAGAGAGTGAAGCAGGAACAGAAACAAGCTCTTACAAGAACTTAGTGATTATTCAAGGGAGTATGAAGTGCATAGCAATCCCTGTAGTGATTATAGCTGTACCCCCCCCCCCCCCAAAACACAAGTCGAGGCTGCGAATTGAGGGTCAAGTAGAACTGGTTTATTGAGCACAGACGCATATCTTTTATACACATTTTCAGGCCAGAGGCACACCCCCTGGACCTGATAGAACACAGGGACAAAAGGGACACAAACCAATGGGAACAATAATTAACACAGTAACACTCCCACATACAGTCAGCAATCCCTCCCCTCTGCCTGTGATATAATTTAAGCTAGCTAATGGAATAACTTAATTATCAACAGGCAGAAAATATAAATTTTCACCCAGAGTTCAGAAACACCCCAAAACTTAAACATATCCCCATAAATTATACATCCCTGTATAGCTCTGATCTGGACAAACAACATATCCAAAAATCATCCAGATCGGATCAGAGCAGGGGTTCACGAATTCTATAGAAGTCACATTTGACCGCAAGCATGGCTTTCATGCCCCAAATAGTTCCACAGATTTTAGGCTGTGCGCCGGTCTATCTTCTCCTTCAAATAAGGAGTTCATATGAACGATGACCAACCAGCCTTTGTCAATTAAGCTGAGGTTAACCACAGCTTCTGGGTGGTTAACAAGCGGCACACTCCAACGCAGGGTTGTCAGTCGTTCGGCATTTTGTTCGTCTGCTTGAATATTATTATCCTGGCTGTAATAGCAGTTTAGTTCACCGAACCAATCCATGAATATACAAGGGAGAATATAAAATCCAAGCAATGCAGACAAAAGATGCAATCCAGGGACAGAAGGTTCTCTCCCAAGTGCCTTAAGACACTGTAAGGAAATCAAGTATAGCTGAACCGCTTTGATAATTCCTCCTGCAATGTCAGCGTCTAAGGTAGTTCTAAGCAATGAAGTCCATAAGAAATATAACAGCTTCCCAAGATAATCCCCTTGGTAAAGCATACGAATTCCCAAATAACAGTCAGAGTCCAGAATCAGGATACAAGTAGATCTGAGGTCTGGAATCTCCAGCCTGCTTTTTATTAAGGTTACAGACAAGAAGTACACACCCAGGGGGAGGCATTAAATCACCAATCAGGTATAGGTTACAGCCCATACCTCCCTCCCCTCTGATAAACAGTTAACTTAATTAAAACGTGCACTATTTTACCCCAGTTCTGGATGTACCCCAAAAACAGGGACCGCTGGATAGTTCTCATTTGTGGGGACAACATATCAAAAAATCAGTCCATTCGGATGAATGGTTCGGGAGTTATGGAACACTAAAGTTTTGACCGACCGCACGGACCATCTAGCCGAAAATAGTTCCATAAGTTTTGGCCCTGCGGTCGGTCTCCGTTTAGGCGAATAAAAGAGACGAAAACCCTGCCATCCATTCGCATCTTTGTGATCGTTGAAATCCCCATACGAAGTTGCATGTAACTACCGAACGGCCGGTGATTCGGTCGTTCCCGTGCGAAGTTCTGGATGTATGGAGGTCTCAGCGGTGTTCGCCTGTTTGCGTATCCGATTTTAGTTCCACGCGTTGACGGGCAAACACCGCTGTTCGCACGTAAAATGGCCGCGGCCACGTGTAAAGTGCCGAAATGGCGGCCATCTATATTTTACACAGGGAATTCGCCTGAATCCATCCGAAGGGTAGAAATGAAAGCTATATGCCGAATTGCAGCTGGGTTTTGGTGAATTAACTGTACAACAAAAGGTAGAAATCCTGATTAACTGAGTCATTTCTTCACACTGCTCCCCTATAAGTCCATAGGTCGGCATACCCGCCTAGACCCTGTCGGGTTGGCTTGGGGATGTTCGAAGAAAGTACGTTTTTTAGGTGTCCAGTTCGGTCTGGCGGGACAGACCATCCGCATTCCCATTTTGTTTACCCGGACGGTACTGCATGGTAAAATTGTATGGTTGGAGAGCTAAACTCCACCGGAGTAGCCTGGGGTTGTCACCAGCTACCCGGTTGAGCCATACCAGGGGGTTGTGGTCGGTCATAAGGGTAAACGCTCGCCCATACAGATAGGGCTGAAGTTTCTTGAGGGCCCACACGAGGGCCAAGCACTCTTTTTCTACGGTGGCATAGCTGACTTCTCGGGGCAAAAGTTTACGGCTGAGGTATGCCACCGGGTGTTCCATGCCATCCGCCCCCACCTGGCTTAGCACGGCTCCCAGCCCAAACATGGAGGCATCTGTGTGGACGAGAAATTGTTTAGTGTAATCGGGTGCTGCCAACACAGGGGCCTCACTCAATGCCGCTTTGAGCTTCTGGAAAGCGTCCGTGCACTCTGGGGTCCAGGAGACCTGTTTGGGAAGAGCCTTTTTGGTAAGGTCCGTGAGGGGCTTGGCCAGGGCGCTATATTCTGGGACGAACTTTCTATAATACCCGGCCGTCCCTAAGAAAGCCAGTACCTGGGTTTTGGTCCGGGGTTGGGGCCAGTTAGCTATGGCCTCTACCTTAGCGGGCTCTGGGCGTTGTCTACCGGAGCCGACCCGGTGGCCTAGATACTGGACCTCGGCTAGGCCTACGTGACATTTGTCGGGTTTCAAAGTGAGCCCTGCGAGGTGGATTCGTTCGAGTACCCTGGACACATGACCTAGATGGTCTCCCCATGTGCGGCTATAGATGGCAATATCATCTAGATACGCACATGCGAAGTCCTGAAACCCCTCCAGGAGCCTATCCGCCATCCGCTGAAACGTAGCCGGGGCGTTCTTCATCCCAAAGGGCATCACCTTGAATTGGTATAGCCCAAAAGGGGTGACGAACGCCGACTTGGGGATGGCCGCAGGCTCTAAGGGGATCTGCCAATAACCCTTGCACAGGTCCAGGGTAGTCAAGTAGTTCCCCCCCGCCATACGGTCTAAGAGCTCATCTATTCTAGGCATGGGGTAGGCATCGGTTATGGTACGGTCGTTAAGTCTCCGGTAATCTACACAGAAGCGC